TATATATTATATATATATATATATATATATATATATATTCATTTATAACAGCCACTCTGGAGCAGCACCAATATCAACCTCCTCTGTACCTCCCCTCCCCAAGCCCCACTGTATGCATACACTTCCAAGCCCCATTCTGCTGCATGCACTTGCCCCCAGCTTCTCTTTGTAAGGGATTTAAGGCTGTTAGAAACCAACACCCCTTCACCTAAGCCTATAACCTATAACTAATAGTCTCCTCCACTCGAGGGCCCCCAGGCATCTTCTGTGTCTCTTTGCTCGAAAGGGGGCCCCCTTGCAGCAACTAGAAGCGTAAGAGAAACCATAAAGTAATTGGTCGCCGATGCACGCCGCTACAGCAGGAAATTGACTAAGAAGAAGGGAGAGAAAGCTGTGTCTATCTCTGAGTCTGTGCATGCAGCTGAGGAGAATGAGAAGAGTATATACCCATATATATATACCTTTGTGTTTATATTCTTCGCTCTTTATAATACAACACACTTGAGTGATGCTGCAGAGCGAAAGCAAGCAGCAGCAAAAATCAATGTAGTGCTGCAGCTGCACGTTGCTGTGGTATTTTGTTGACGTTTTTGGTGCTTTAAAAGACGAATAAAACGAAGAAATTAAAACAAAAAACAAACTAAGAGATAAATACGGCGCGCAGAGGGGCAGACAAACAAGAGGGCGCGATCGGCGCCCATGGGCGCCCGCGTTATGGGAGAATGAATGGGGAGAAATTGGGGTGTATAGGGAGCTACGTTCATATAATGTTTGTATGCAGAGGTGCCTAATGTTTTAAATTGAACTGTATTATATAAAAAAGAATTAAAATAACAGAAATATTGAACCCATCAAGACCACAGCGTACTCGTGCTAACAGCTGTATCTCAGCCCCCTGTCCTTGGGGCGTTGCCTTCAGAAACTCCTTCGCACTTCGAGGGCATCTCTTCTTTTCACTCATTTTGTCTCCGTTTTAGTTGATTTAATTTGTCTAATTTTCTGCAAAAGTATTTTAATATGGTGCGGCTGTTGCGGTGGCGCGTACTCGCGCCCGCTGTCGTTGCTGCTCTGCTTTGTGCAGACGGTGAGATTAGTTTTCCTTCTTTTTTTTCAAGTTTTCAAAATCAGATCAGAATCATTGCATGCAGAGCTTCTTCTTGGGGCTTTGTTCCTTCCCTGCAACAGACTCGATGGCCTTGTCTGCTGCTTCACGTTCTGCTGCATTTACGCACGGTTTACTGCATCTCTTAAGCGAGCTTGTTGATTGCAAATAAATGCTGCTGCACAACTAGTAGAAACCTCTTCGCCTTGCTGCTGCTGCAGTGACAGCAGCGGCAGCAGCGTAGCCCACCAAAGTCTGGTTCTGGGTGTGATTGACTTGCACGTGTGTGGGTCTGGGTTGTAGAGAAGCAGCAGCATTGAATATGCTGCTGCGCCGCGACTGCAGGGGAGTAAATAAAATGCTGCTGCTTCTTTTCTTTGTTCTGTCTCTTCAGCCCCATATCTCGCTATTGCGGAAGAGGAAGGAGAGGCCCAAGCTGAGGTTCCATTCGGCGATGGAGAGCCCGCAGCAGCAGCAGAAACAGCAGCAGGAGCAGCGGCAGCGGCAGACTCTGCTGCTGCTGCTGCTGCACCATCAAAAGGGGAAGACGCCTCAGGGGAGCCCAGTGTAGACACAACCGCCATGGGGATCATTGCGAAGCTAAGGGAATTCCCTGGCTTAGGAGAACACGGCGCCGGGTTGCTGCAGCTCGCGGAGGAGGGTCTTGGCATTAAAGCGAGCACGTTAGAGTTGAAGACAATCGGACCGATGCTGATGGACCTACAGAAGAATGTGCACGAACATTACAGTGAGGCACAGATAGGGGCTGCTTTTGTTGGTGTAGCTGCTGCTGCTGCCGCATCTTTTGCTTTGAGCCAGTCGGAGTGTTGAGGGCTTAGACGCGATGCAGTTGCTGTCTCTGGGGTTTCTTAAACGGTGTGGGAAACGAACAGAAAGCGAAGAAGAGTGGGATATGCACAGAGCGTTGAGTATTTGCCGTGCACCTGCACGCAGCTGGCGCGGAGTCTGTCCATCTATGTGTGTTAATTGTTTATCTATTTATTTGTTTGTTTGTTTGTGTTGTGGGTGCTTGCTTCAGTGCTGACAAAGGGGAACGGAAAGTATAAGCCCTCTTCTCTTCTTACCCGCGTCATCGGCCAGAAGTCAAGAAACCGAGTGATAAGGTCTATGAAGAAGTTCGCTCCAGACACCGAAGATAGCGAGCTCATTCAACAGCTAGACATTGTGACGGTAAATTTACTCTTGAAATTGTTCTTCTATGCGGGTTTCCGCCATCAAACCAACCTGAACATCTCTGCACTCTGGGGTGTATAGGCAGCTCGAAGAAACCAACACAGAGCTTTTGCAAACTTTGGAAGAAACCTAACGGTATATTCGTTGCTTATATTCTTCTTTGTTTTTGCCTTTTGTTTTTTTTTCGACTCAGCATTTGCTGCACGAGCTGCACACCAACCCTAAGAACAGCGTGCACGACTTAATGCAGACAGTTTCAAAAGCGGTGGGTTTCAATTTGGAGGATGAAGACATGAAAGAGTTGTCAGGGCATATGAAGTGGGCTGAGGATTTAATGGGGAAGGTATTCTCCCTGCTGCCGTCTTCACTGAAGGGACAAAAAGCAGAAGAACTTTGATCTCCGCGTCAAAATTATTGCACAACTTAGCAGTGCATTAATGGGGCGAAGAACCAAGCTCATCAAGGCTGGCGCTGTTCACTGCAATGACTGGCAACCAGCCAGCGGTAGGATGCCACACCCAGCTGCTTTCTTTTCAAGTAGTGGGTTCTGATAGGCTTGGAGGCGGGGCAGCGGCAGTTCAAAAGCTGCTGCTCGTACACGCATTGTCTGCTACGCATGGATATTTGGATTGGCTTATTTCGATTTAATCCTTAATCAAACAGCGAGCGAGAACGCAGTTTCCGCTTTTGTCGTTCGTTGTGCGCCTGGTATGCGGTGGAGAACTGGGGCTCAGTTGCCTTCATTTCCTTCTGCAGAGACAGGGACTGTTTTTTCCCTTTCCGCTGACAAGTTTAGTTGTACAGGCGCACAGAACAGCTGGACGCTGCATGCATGAATATGCTTCTGGCCCCGCAGCTGAAGTTGTAACATGTTCTATACAACAATACGAATGCACCTCAGCTGCGCAACACATAACGCTCCCTAAGAGGAACAGCAAGCAAACAAAGCAGAATGATTCTGTATCATTAGCAGCCGCAGTGACAGCAGCAGCTGTTAAGCGGCGGAAGCACGGAGGCGAGGAGGTGGACAAAGTTCTGAAGAGGACGAAGAAAGATCTCCTTCTTCTTAACATTCCGTTTACTTTGTCGTAGTGCAGCTCATATGTCGCCCTGCATGCCTCTCGGCGTGTCTGAGCAGCTGCCACATAATCTGTTGTGTGCAGTCATGTTCGTGATAATGAAAATAATTTCGTGAGGGAAGTTGATGTTGAATGCTCAGACAGGAGAATAGGCACGTAAGAGACGCATTCATAGTTTGAATTGCCCTTAAGGGTCTTCTCTTAAGAACAACCCGCGAAATATGCGTACATCTTCATTATCAAATAAAATAGAACAATGAATCGCAACACACAAGAAGATTAAATCCTCATGAATCGGCAGTACTAGAACAAACAAATCTTCGTTTGCATAAGGAAATGCAGAAATGAAACGTGGGTGAGACTTTGCTTAAAAACAAATGCGATGGGGAAGTATGAATAAAGGAGTAATCAATATTCAATATCACCAGGTGGTGAATTTTTCTTCATTGATCGGTAGAGGTGAAATACGCTTGATGCATTGATAGAAATGCAGAATTGAACACACGAGCCAATCTTCGTGTGCAAACAGAAGTACAGAAATGAAGAGAGTTTTCTTCTGTTTTTCAAAATAAATTTAGGGAGGACCCGTGATAGACCTCACTAAATCTGCAGAAATACAGAAATAAATCACGTTTGAACCTTTGCAAATCGACAGAAATACAGAAACATAATTCACGAAGTGTCTTCGTAGATCAATGGAAACACAGAAACGAAACATGAATTATATATAACCTGAACTGGTGAATGACCACTGGTCTTTACACGCAGTGAAAACAGTGGATGAATCTTGAATTGTGCATTATTATTATTCCTGTGCAGCAAATTAAATAAGCATTATTATAGTACATTTTATTTACTAGAATTAAGACAGATAAGGAGAAAGAATCGACTATTTGCTCCATTTAAATTCATACAAAATGCTCTGATTCAAACCATGGACAGAAAAAGCAAATAAAAAGAAGTGATCGTGAAAACTCCATACAAAAATCTGCACAAATCTGAGGTGTATGGACACCTCTTTAATGCGTTCATTTGGTGTTTGGGTGTATGTGTGTTCATTCATTTGTTGTTTGTTTGCAAACCGAGAGCCAGATACAACAATGCGCGCGGTGCGCTCTCTCCATTAAACGCAAACCACTAAAGATATTCAACTAGTGAATTATCAAAACCATTTTACTCCTTTTCTGTCCTTTTGTGCATGCAGTTACTGCAGCAGTAGACAAAAACAGCACCACACAGCAACAGAATTCAGTAAGGAGGAATCGGTGGATACTGACTCAGAAACTGCGGATCCAATGGAGTTATTGCGTTTTCCTTTAGATCATCCATACTACCTCAAACCATTCTAAAAGTGCAGGCTTAAAAATAAGGAAAAATTCATAAAAATTATACAATATTCACTTCTATAGTGGGCCGCTGCTCCTGCGCAGCCGACTAGCGGCGGCTCACACGGGCTGCTGCTGCTGCGGTTCTCTGCGACATGCTGCTCCCTCTTTTTGTCGTTTTTGCGAGTAACGCATGGACTGTATAGGCATCTTTTGCTTTTTTGACGCCTTTTAAGGTTTTAATTCAATAAAAATAAAACAATTTCACAGAAGAAGCCACCACACACAACAGCGCATCGATTCCCCCAACCGCTGCGAGCCCTCACTCACTTCGGCAGCAAACCCCCAAGCTAACCTGTAGAATTTTTTCTTTTTCTTCTCCGGAGTTTATTCTGCAGCGCAACTGCTCGGCAGACAAAGTGCTTCGAGTTGCTGCAGCCCAACACCGGCGTTTCTGCAGCAGCAGCAGCAGCAACAGCAGCAGCTACAGCCGAAGCAACAACAGCAGCTGCGGCGACAGGGGCAGCAAAATAACGGCGGCCATCATCCATAAGCAACAGCAGCGACAACAGCAACAGCAGCAGCAGCAGCATCAGCCGCAGCTCTTGCTAGTCCCTGCTGTTGCTTGGTGTTGCATTTCGTTCTTTTCCGGCAGACTGAACATTCAGACAGACGGCGCCCTGCGGGCCTAGCAACACGACCCTTTGGAGGTCGTGTGGCTTCAGCTGCATTGTTTGGGGGGTTAGGGTTTAGGGTTTGTGGCTTAGGGTTTGGCGGTGAACTGGCAGCTGTTGAGAGGTGGTACTCCCTTTACATATTTTTGCTGCTGCTGCTGCTCCTTCGGCCGCCGTATTTGGGGTTAATCACCTCTTAAAGGAGTTATTTTATGCTTCGTCTTGGGGCTTTCCTTGCATGCATGCATCAGTCTGTTGAGTGCCTATACCGCTTCATAGTAATCTGTTGCTGTACTGCTTACGCTGTATATATACCCTGCACCCTCGTCTAAACCCTAAACCCTAGAGCCTTTGCTAGGTGATGGCCTGCTGCGGGTGTGGTGGCCCTTCTGCGGGCAGCAGCAGCAGCAGCAGCTGCTGCTGCTGCTGCTGCGGGGTGTGTGATGGCGACGAGCAGCTGGTGCTGCAGCAGCAGAAGCGAGCGGAGAGCCTCGAGGAGCTGAGAAGAATGAAAGGAGTAACAAAGACCTCTATGACTCAGCTAGCTGTAGAACAGCTAGCTGTAGTAGAAGCTGCTTACTCTAAACTTGGCAGCAGAAACCGCTGCCTCTGCTGCTACCCTCTTCAAGCCCTAACACGGGGGCCGCTGTTCCTCGCTCTCTGTCTTTTTACTGCTGCTCTCTTTGCTATAAATTCATACCCTGTAGAGCTCAACCAAGTAAGCAGCAGCAGAAACAAAACATATAAACAAAACAAACAAACGAACAACAAACACCTAAACATATACAAAAAATCAAACAAGTACACAAACAGTACACGCAGGCACACAGATAACAACAAACAAACGTACAAACAAATTATATAAGCAAACAATTATAAACGATCAAAGACAAATGAAGAACTACATTAAACAAGCAATGATAGACTAGCAAATACTTTCTCTATGTGTGTTTGTGTGTGGGGTGTATTTGCGGTGTCTGTACAGATGCTGCAACGCAGCGAGATTGCTGCTTTGTTAGGCGTTGATTATTTATTTGATTTAAATACATTCTTTCTTTTTACTGTCTGCTGCATAACGTGTGTTATATCTGCTGCCTTCCTTATCTCAGCTCTCCGTCTCTCTTCTTTTCTCTCCCTAGTAAGTGAAGCCCCCCGCCAAACCCTAAACCCTAAACCCTAAACCCTAAACCGTAAACCCTAGTGTGTGTCTCTCTGTTTGTTGTATTATATTATATTATATGGTTGATTATATTTGTTTTGTTTTGTGTATAGATTGAAGAAGAATTAACAGCAGCAGCAAGGGAGGAGCTGCTGCTAGATGTGCTGCCGTCTATACAGCAAGACTTTTACTCTTTTTTGCAGCGGCTGCAGCAGCACTTTGTGCTGAGTGAAGATTTTAATGAAGCAGCAGCAAAGAGAGGCAGCAGACAGCTGCAAGCGCTGCTGCATGCACGCATATCTCTCGTGTGTCTCTACAATAAGGGATCTCCTCTTTCTGCTCGCCGAAGTATTCAAGAGAGAGTGGGGCTGCTGCATTTCTTGCTGCAGCTGTTCTTCTTCTTTATACCCTGGTTTGTCTTTACTTGCTGCAACTGCATGCAGCTCCTCGTATTCTGCTCTCAAGGCCCTTGGCTTCTCCCACAGGAAACAGCAGCAGCAGCAGCAGCAGCAGCAGCAACAACAGCAGCAGCAGCAGCAGGAACAGAAATGAATGCCCCACAAGCTCTGCAGCTGCAGCAGCAGGCTCTTGCATCAGAGGCCGCCTCAGGGCACATCATTTGCTGCTTTATTTTAAATGCTTCTGCTGCTCTTTATTTAATTATACTACAAAGCAACTGTCTCCAGCGCTGCTTCACCAACTGTCTGTACAGCCGAGTGCATGCAGCAATCGTAGACCTGTGCAATCGCCTCGTGAGACCTTGACCTCCTGCTGCTGCTGCTGCTGATGCTGCTGCTGCTAGTGTTTCTCTGTTCTGTCTTTCTGTCTCCTGTTGCTGCTGCTGCTGCTGTCTCTCTTGTGTGTCTCCTTGTGGTGTTGCTGTCTCTCGTTTCTCTGCTACTGCTGCTGCTGCTGCTGTCTCTTGTCTGCCTGCTTGTGGGTTTGCTGCCTCTCTTCCCCTCTTTGTCTGTCTCCGCCTGTTGCCGTTTGTCTCCTTTTGTCTTCGTCTTTCTTTGCGTTTGTCTGTCTCTGCTACTTCTTTCTATCTCTTTCTACATTTTATTTCTCGCTGTCTCCTTTTGCTGCATTTAATAAGATACCCCAAGGGCCTCTTAAAGGCAGGCGAGCTGCGTAGGGATCGCTGCTTCTGCTGCTGCTGC